AACTTCCATCTGCCCTAAGGTCAACATTACCTTCCCCCTTTTTTTTGGACTTTCGCACCTTTTACTGCCTATTATAAATGGGTCACATAAAGTAACAGAAAACATCGACGTCATTGGAGCAAAGTAGCGCACTTCGACGATATGTGTTTATCTGATCCTTACCAAAACGTCGACTTCCTAGAAATTACTCTAAACCATGAATTTGATATTTAGTTATAAATAATCAACTTTATCAAAAATTAACTGAATGAATATTAATAATAATAATAAAAGGCTTAGTGAACCCGAAGGTTCGATACCGACAACACCAACTAAATAAATAATAATTAAATTATTTATTATTGTTATTAAGATCATACCAATTGGTTAGTAAAATTTTAAATAACGTCTCATAAATTCGTGCATTCCAGATATTCCTAAACGCGCGTTTATTTATTCCTACAGGCACAATAAAAAAAGTATACATATTTTATTATTGCTGTAAAGGTATCGTTGAATTATTAATTATTTTGTAAAGTTTATGTACTGGGAAGGCTGCGAACTTGAAAACAAAAACAATAGTTTTCTATAAAAAAATAGTATATATATATATATATATATATATATATATATATATATATATATATATATATATATATATATAGAGAGAGAGAGAGAGAGAGAGAGAAATACTTTATTTTCATAAAAATATAAAATATAAAAGATTGCTGCCCAATTATATTGGGTTGCTACATACACAGCATACTCTTTAATCCTTAGGACAATAAATGAACTTATATATAAATATAAAGAAGTGTTAGTTTATATTAGTAAAAATATATATATATATATAAATATATATATATATATATATAAAAATACATTTTTTTTCCTTCCTTTCATTGTTCACGCTTTTTTTTTTTTTTTTTTTTTTAAACGTTTAATTTCCCTTTCTCTCACTTCTCTCTCTTTATCTCTATTATTTTCAATTTTTCATTAAATAAATACATAAATTAAAACTCTCAGGCTAGCCATACACGTGGTGGTGAATGATTCCCAGGTCGAGGACTATATTTTCTGTCTTTTAAAAAAACATTTTCTGTAAGTAATTTGGTATCTTAATTTATATAATATGAGACATTTGTAATCATTGTAAAAGTATAAATTTAAAATATGAATTAGGTAGCTGATGTATTAATTGATTTAAAATATTTGTTATAAGTTTTCCAATTATGATTTTCACTATAAACAACCAATCCTTAAGGATCATTGATTATGCTAGTCCTATCAACAGGATACTAATTAACATTTATGAATTGTAGTTATTAATTAATTAATAACTACTATTCATAAATGTTAATAATTAATTAATATCTACAATTCATAAATGTTAATATTTAATTAATTAATAACTACAATTCATAAATGTTAATTAGTATCCTGTTGATAGGACTAGCGCAATCAACGAGCTTCCATCAATGAAACGAATTCCGTTCTCAAGATTTGTAGTGACTTACCTGACCTCCACCCTTTATCAGCGTCCACTTATCTAATTCGGATGTCGCTCTGGATGTTTCAGATTCCTTTTTTGGAATAAGAATGTGAAGACACTAAACTGCATCCTGTCTTCTTAATTTTTTGTTTAACGAATGTTAATAATTTTTTTTAAATGTCGAGAAATATATATATTTATACTTAAATAATTACAATTTTACTAATATAAAATATAAAAATCTTTTTCTTCAATTTTCTGCTTTATTTTCAATTTCTATTCACACTTAAGTATATGCCTTAACGTCAGTTTAATAGTAATCAAAATTATTTTTTGATAATTCGGGGAATCTTTGTCCCACTCTTCAGCAATCTAAAATAATACAATTAATACATTATAAATCCAATTTATTAACCAGTCACTATTAACAAAATATAAGCTATAATATATTAATTTATATTGTTGAAGAGAGGGGCAGATATTCTCCGAAACGTACAATAAATAACTATCAAAATCTAATTTTGATTATTATTAAACTAACCTTAAGGCATACACTTAATTATGAACAGAAATAAAATGATTACCGAAATATTATTTATATTTTATTTTTTTCCTTAGCTTCTCATACACTTTCTTGACATGATCTAAGGTCTCAATAGTTGCACATTTTCTGCATTAATACTACTATATAGTATCAATGATACATAAAATTATGAATATACACTAAAAAAAAAAAAAAAATAATACTAATTTAACGAGAAAAAAAAAGTTTGATTAAAACGTTACACTATGATATCTCTCTAAGTTTATCCACTTGTTTTCAGTGAATACTATAAATATTTTAATAAAACTAAAATATCTTATTACTCTTTGTACTATTAGTATTAAGTAAACAACAAAACTTTACATACCGACTTGAGACAACCAACTATCACCCAACACAAATTCGTACTCTTTACTCCCGATTTCATATTAAACTACTCATACATAACACTAGACTGATAAACGACATGGCCATCAGGAGTCGAGGGATCTTCATTCCTGAATGAAGGAAGAAATTATTGGCCGAGACTGCTGGGTACTATCATTCCTCATGCCGATTTCCAAATTCACAACAGCTCCTCTGCTTATTGTCAACTTAATGACAGGTGCCGATTTACATAAAAAAAAAAACTCTAATTTAAATCATCATCTCAAAATACTTCTTAAAAATAACTCAATAAAACTTAAAATTAACTTAATAAAAAATTATAAAGATTTGTTTTATTTTCAAAATTCTTCAGAAATATTAATAAAACAGGGAGCATGTTTTAGGGACGTTAATGCGATTTTGTTTTACTATTATACAATAGGAAAAAAAATTACTTAACGTTAAATGAAATGATAAACGTAGAATTTAAATTATCTACTCCAATTTCATCTTTCGACAGATTATCATGTATGAAATAAACAATTGGTTATTATATATGATTTAACAAATAATAACTGTATTTAAGATAAAGATAATGATACATTATTTAAAAAAAAAGAAATATTTATAGTAAAGGTTGAAGTGAAATATATTTAAAAAAATATTTTTAGTTAGTTATATTTATTTATTTTATTTAAAATAATAGCTATTATTTCCTAGGTTAAAAAAATGTACTATTTTAATACATCGTTATTATAATAACGAATCGGGTTATATATATTTGATTTAAATATTTATATAAAACGGCTTAACTAATTAAATATATTATGAGAATTTAAATTAAAAAAGTAAAATTACTAAAGCTAATTGTTGCATCCATTTCCATCCCGTGAACTCTATTAGAAATATTTTCGGCGAAATGCACTTTTTTTACGTCTTTCTCAGGAAAATGAGCTTGAAATGATAAAATAGTTTTTAAACAATTACAGAACGAAACTTCGATGTATAGCATATTTTTGGTTTGTAAAGCTTATAATATAAATTATTGTAAGACTTTTTCAACGTTTCCACGGGAAGTTTCCGTTAAATATAGTTAGTTTTCAGAAATTGTTAGTCATAGGTTTTTCAGTCACTCACTCTTACCTTCTACTACTTTGTATCCTAGATATTAATTTTTCAACAAAATTTAACTTTTCATTGATATATTGGGCAAATATTCTTGTTTCCAGAAATCTATTTTAAACACTGGGGAAATGTTCATCCTTTATTCTCCATTTGCTACTTATCAATTTTGATTTCTTTTAACAATGAATAACTATTCATTTATTTCAAATAGACCACATTAAAAGGTAATTTAGAGCACTCTGTTCCGAAATTCGGTAGTTAAGCCCTGTTATATTATTTTAATAAGGATAAAACAAACCTGATGATACAAATCATTTAATTGTATATTGATATAACGAGTTTAATCTAAATCGTAAGATCCGTTTTTGAAAGGATCACAAATATAGCACATAATAATTAAATAATGTGCCATTTGTGGCAAGTCTATTTCAGTGAAAAAGTGTATAACTTTAATAGTATATTTCCGTTGAAAACTTGGATTTAAAACTTTCCTCGTACACTTAATTTTCCTTTACTTAATATTTCATGTACATATAAGCAGAAGAAAAAACAGACGCACAAAAAAATAATAATAAAAATATTTAAAGGTCTCGAATTGATATAGAAGAGCTTTTCCATTTAAATCTTGTATTATCTAAGATTATTCACTTTTTTTTTTATTAATTTTAAAATAGGTAAATTTCAACCTTAAAAATATCGTTCAAAACTAACGTTGTTTAAATTTATTTTATATGTATTGTATTAGCTATTTGTTGATCTTATTTACATTTAAATTATAAATCAATAAAAAATATTATCACTAATTATAGTAATATTTCATTCCTATAAATCATAACTCTATAATTATATTTAACAGTATTTCATAATTTCGATTGCTTCAATTCTGACCGATTTTATTATTTTACATTTTTCTTTATTTTATTCTAAATAGTGTAGTTTTTTGCATTAGTAGTCTTTTCTATTGATTGAAATATAACGAAATGTATAAATAAGTAACTAATTAGTCTTAAAATTTGTATGAAATTGGCCAATTTATGTATTAAATGAGTTAAGTTTAACTGATATAAAAAAAACTTAATTATTGTTGTAATATCTATCGTATATATTTTTTATTTATTTGTTATTTTATTTCTTTATTTATTTTCACTTCCCTTTTGAAAAAAAGTAGAAATAAAATAGAAATGTTATAAAAAAAGTGTTATAAGTGAAATACAAATTGTTATTCAGTTAAAGTACATGTTGATGAGTTTTTATAAAATTTGAAACGCTTATAAATAAAAAAATAACTCAATATATTTTACCGCCAAATTGGGAGAAAAGTAACAATAAAAATAATAATAACGAATTTCTTATTAAATACTTAATTATATCATATTGATTTTTCACAATGATTGTGAAGAGTTATTATAAACATTTTACTTTATTATTATGGACTTTATTTTAATTAATACACAATATACTATTCTAGAAATGTACTCTAATAAAAAATGTGGACTACCTGAAGGCTGCGGTTGATATCTTGGAAGAGATAAGCCCTAAAGGAGTTACGCGATAGTACGCAAGAGGAGGGGGTGCGTGCGGGGGGTTCCGCCCCCACCGCTGACGTGGCTCGCCCCTCATGAATGGGCCCCATTGGCCGGTGCCTCCCCCCACCCCCCACCTCCGCTCCCTATAATACCTCCCGCCACCTCCATTCACCAGTGTGCGTGAGTGAGTGCTGGTGCATGGACCACATGGACAAATCTCTAGTCCGATCTCGTCGAGTCTCCAGTGAGTACACACACATATTATATAATTGTCATCTAAGAGGCAAGTATCGTCTTGTGCAATCCCGTCTTCCTCTTGTGTCATCCTCTTCTGCAGTGTTCGAGCAAGCTGATTCCAGAACTATTATCTCATAACGAGCGAAAAATATTTTAATAATATCAAACAAGTGTTTATCCAGTTTTATGTTAAAAATGAACACTTTTTGATATTCGATTACCGTCCGAGGTTTCAGAGTGAAAAAAATATGAGTGATAAGAAAAAACCGTATATACCAGGTAATAGATCATCCTTAAAAATAATTAATTCATACAATAATATTTTAACAAAAAATTAGTAATATACACATCGAGCTATGGAAAAACTGTCATAATATTGTCTTCCAATATTTTTCTAAATATATACTTACAGAAAAAAAAAAGTAATATTTTAAATGTATTAAACAAAGTATATCATTAATTATAACGATTACGACAATTCCAATAATAAATAGTGATTCTATTTTAAATAACAGAGAAAAAATGTTCCTCGTACGCGAGTGTAGGAATCGCCTGAGACGGTCAACGGAAGGATGCAGCCCGCAAAGGCTGTTCGTGATCTATCAGAAACCGTTCGACTACCGATCTGTCGAAGGTTGTGCTACCCACTTAATTACGAAATCTTTTAAAGTCTAAGAAACTCAATTTTTTTTCTATTGTAAAGTTATGTTTTAAAAATTACCTCTTCCATCTGCGAAATCACTAAATTTGTAAAAAAAATTCATACAAAAAGGCAAACAAAAAATAAATATGGCTAATTTTCGCCGGCGTGACTACTGTTTCGCCGTGAGACATAATAACCGCAGATTCCGCAACAGTGAATCAGCCAGTTGAGAATAAACTCTAGGTGTTCTCTTGCGCGGGGAACTCCGAGTTCCCGAAGTTGGGTGCCTCTTTCTAGGAAAGGTTCCCCTTGGGTCAGACCAAGAAGGAGACTTCAACGCCACCTATCATATAGCGATGGCGGGCTTATCGAGAATTGTAAACTATTACAAAATAATGATAAACTAGTTATTTATTTTGAAAAATAATAATAATTTAATGATACCGTCAATACTAAAAAAAAAGTACAAATCCATGTAAAGCACTATTTTTAATTATTCATAAAACTACAATAGACCAAAACGCACGCTAACTAGTCGTATTATAAATGTTCAAATTTCGGGTTTTATAAATAAATAAATATAGTTTAACTGATACAAAATTTTGGGCTGCTTTCCTGTCGGCTTCACTCAGGTATTCCCTGAGATGCCGGGTGCAGTTGTAAACCAGAAAAAAGATAAGAATTCCTGAATTAGTGTCCTTATGTCTTTGGTCCTCTGTGGCATGTTAGCTCGGAATACTTTTTTTTTTTTATCATGTTTTAGAGAAGTGCAAACAAAAAATTGAATTCGACTTTAGCTGTATATTTCAATTCCCAATAATTCTCCATAAAAATTATTGGGGCAGCTTATTAACATAGAATAAATAGTTTTATTCGAAATACCTCGTTTTGCACAAGTGATATTCTCCTATAAATTTGTTGAAATTTTTTTATATATATTGACTTAACTCATTTTTTGGTCATTATAATTCAAAATATTAACATTTTCTTCTTAATAATAATGGATGTTTAGGTTTAAAATGTACCGAAAGTAAATTTCAAAACAAGACGAAATAATGTACGGGCAACACTAGATTTATAAAATTATAAATTGTCTAAAAGGTAACCATTTATTTGTAATTTAAATTAATAATATTTGGACTTAAATAAACGTTTTGGATCTAATTTTGTCTCACCAGATGACAGATATAATATTTTACTACCTGCATTCATTCAACGTGAGTAAGGAGTAATGATAGTTGATTCACTCATTCACAATAATAAAGATAAGAGCTCGCTGAGTTTTGAGTTGTCAAATCATCAATGACAGGATACGGAAACAGCTGATAGCGGTTGCATTACGTACTATAACATTCTTATTGATGCCCAAACATATATATTAAATATATATCATCCTCTTTTTTATAGAGACAATAGTGCGATTTTTGTAGTTACATTTTGCCATAATATATAAAATAGTAATTATTTTAAAAACAATAATGTTTAATTGAAATATTTAACATAATTAGTAACACAAATTGTATGCTTATCCTTTGTATTTTACATCCACCATATTTTCAAATTAATTTTACAATCGTTGGTAATCTCGTTAAAATTTCATATTGATTATAGACATTATTAACAAATTTTACTTATTTATTATTTATTATATGTATGATTATTTGTCGTTTAACATAATTTTTCATAAAATCAGAAAGAATTGATCTAAAGTTTGATTATTCAACCATTTTAAAAATAATAACTTGTTTTTATTTTTAATCATTCCAATAAGAAGTCCCTTACTTGAAAGTAAAAAAAAAAGATGTGATGAAGTTACTCATATGTTTTTGTTTGTTTTGATATTTACTTTTATATTAATAATGATTAATATCTCACATATTTTTTCAACTATTAATATTGTTTATTTTATTGTATAATTGTTTGCATGATACTAATCTTTATTTACTTTTAAATTTACAGTTCATTGTTGTATGGTCTCCATAATATTTTAGGTGCATTAGAATCCCCTTCAAATATTTGTATTTATTCACCTAAACATAACGTCCATTCAGATACATTTTGTTTTGCTTTTTTGGCTTACTAAGAATTTATGTTAAATAAAATATGTAATTTTTCTCTGGACGACGCAGAATCAATTTAAATTTATAGATCAGCTAATGTAATAATGTATCATATATTTAAAACTATGGTATATTCAAAGTTAACCAGACTATTCTTTTATTATTAACCAGCTAATAACTCCGGTAAGTCTGTTTCCATGGCAGCCATCCTTCCATCCTAAGGTCAAATTTCTTATTGCACTGTTTTGCTGGGTAACAAAGAGCGACCTTGTTCAGTTTGCTGTGTGCAACTCGAAATGGGTCGGCTATCTTCCATTCCTGGAGGTTTTGTTTTGTATTCGAGATCCGTAGTTTTCCGTGAACCAGGAAGTTTCTTCTGGCCGTATTTAGTAGAACAAAAGGCTTAAGGTCCGCTCGGATATAAAACAAATCGATTCTTTCAGAAAAGATCACGTTTTTTCGCAATTAATGGCGCTTTCGCTGGTTCTGGAAGGATTGGGCGGTGAGTGAGTTTTGCATTTCGGTCAGGTTTTCGGCCCCATTGCAATCGTGTCCGTCGAGCTTGAGCATCCATGATGTCTTGAAAAATTGCTTGTATTTTGTCATGTCCGTGAAAAATATGATGGGTGGTTTTGTTTAAAATGCATTATTTTGTACAAAGACTAACGAATGCATTAATTGAGCCTAAAATTAATTTACGAGTCATTCATAGTTCAACATAAATAAATATAGTATATATTGCACAGCTTCCAAGTAATATACTTCTTTATTGCAATGGCAAAACATTTAGTTACAAAACGCTATTTAAGAAACTAAAAACTTTGTTTATTTTTAATCTTCTAGTAATTACCTAATTAACTAAAAATTAAGTAATTTTATTTTAATTATAAATTATTTCATTGGGATTAACAATTTTACAATTACGGGAAAAATAAGATTCCATTCTTAATATCATTAACTCGACAGCTTTAAAAATATGACAATTAATTAATATTTACGAATAAACGATTAATTAATAATGAAAATGAGAATTATTGAATTAATTAGAATAGATAAGTCTCCTTAACACACATCGCTTCAAGATGTGCCCAAAAATTGTAACTCGACCAGTTACTATAACGGTGAACCATTACGTGAGCATCGCTCAAGAGAGAAAAAAGTATTGAAAAAAAAGTTTATGTATAACAATAAAGACCCAGAGACTTCATAGCACATCAACGGACGAAGTCACGGATGTCATATGGCACATAGGTCTCAAGACTCCTGAGGACTTCCGGTTTTGCCATTGCTTCGATTTTCGGCCTATTTAAGGAGGATGCGGAGAAGAGCCGGAACCGAGCATATGAAAGTGTTTCACCGTTCTGCCGCTCGAGGGTTAATCGATTTTGTATGCTCTTTTTCATATCCCTTCCTAACGGCGAAAGGAAAAACACAGCAGATATAATAGAGGTGCACCTGAAGAAGCTCAATCTTGAAAATTGACGCCCACCAGAATAAGAAAACCGTTAGGACCTTTAGAGATACTAAACTCTGCCGGTCGACATCATGTCACATGTTTACATCTATATTAGTCACTCTCGCCATAACGCACTGTTTAGTCACTGGAACATGATTCGGGAACCTTACCGTGTCATATCGGGAATCGTTCGTTTTATTCAGGAAAATGATAAATAGGCTGAAAAAAATGATCTTGAATGTAAGTAGCAAATGGTCAGACCATGCGTTTATATTAACCTCTCATTTTTATTTTACCATCCGTATTTTTTTTTTTATATTTAGCAAACAAACCCACCTTTAGTTCGTTCAAAATCATGTTATCGTGTCTAGACATGAATCGTGTGAAAAAAAGTACCGTAACTATTCCCTGGAATCATACTGTCGCATTGTTGCAACTGATACTGACCACAAGCCATTCAAGTTTCTTTAACACTACAGGAAGGAAAATTTCATTGAATATATATATATTTATATTAATTTTATATGATTGAAATTGTTCATTGTGGAGGTTCTTGTGAATATTTACCAAAGGCTTGGAAGACAAGAGACTCTGTGAAGACAAGCGCCTAGTAGGTTCTGCCCCAAATCACGGAGCTCGAACAAAGGGGGAATAGCCCTCTTCTTATATGCAATTTCTCCAGATCGACAAAAAAATTAGTTAAAAAAAAAAGAATAAAATAAAACGACCTCCATCAAATGTAAAAGTTGGTGTGGATATTCTCCGCCCTATCTTCTTATTATTAGTTTTTCTTCATGAGTAGCTAATATACTTTTTTCCTTACAGATTTGTATTACAATTTTTAATAACTCCATTTAAAAAATTACAACTTCAATCTTGGGCCTTTTCTCCATTCCCCTCACAAGGAGTTAAAATTATTAGTAATTTAGTAATTTTTTATTATTACCTCCACTGCAAGTAATTTACTAACAGAAATTCATTTCTTCCCGTTTTTCTTTTCTTTTCTCTTTTCTTTTTTTTTTCGGTTTCCTCTATTTATTTATTTTTATTCGGTGCCTTTATTCGTAACGTAAATATTGTCATTTTGGACTGTTGTTTATTTTTATCTTCCCTGACATGCTACGAGTTCTCTGTTATTATTTTATTTAATTGACCGGTTTATTTTTGACAAATTAAGGGACATAACTTATTGCATTGAGGTAATTTGTGTTAAGATTAACTATTATCTTTTTTAAAGAAGTATTAATTATTTTTACTGAGTAATTAATTATTAAAAATAAAAACTGTATTGTCCTAATATTTAGTGAATATTTTCCCGTTTATAACATAATACATAAATAGATTTTAATTTGTATTAAACGCGCGCTAATGTCTAATTAAAGTTGTAGTTAATTTCGTGCAATTAATGTTTTATTAATTCATAATGCGTGCGAAAGAAAAAAAAAAAAACTAATATTCATAATCAAACATTTTTTTTCACTCATTGCGTTACTGGGTTGATTAAATTAGCTTCCAATTAGTTTTTAATTCTAAAAATATTGTCTTCAAAAATAAAGACATATATACCAATGATATTTAATATCAAAATGTATCATAATTTCTTGTATTATTATTTAATACTTGATTACGTTAGATTAAAAATAATATTATTTAGATTCAAATTTAATAATATCATATTTTTCGAAGTTATCCAGTTATTATTGGTGATCCAGTTACCATTCAGAAGACAATAGTAGGGAAACTATTAACATATTTGATATATTAAGTACTTTCGTATTTAGATCCTTTTAATTAATAAATTGTTGACAAAAATATAAATTGTTTTCAAACGATTTAATTATAAATAAATAACAGTCGTGAAGTATCCGCGTTCCGGCGAGTGATGAAACTTGGAGCCCTCATGTCTACCCGTTGAGTGTAAAGCGATTGAATTACTAATTCCTATCATATCTTCTGCTTTTTATTGTTTTATCTTTTATTTATTTTTTTAGTTGCTTTTATGAGTGTCTTTTTTTCTTTTGTTGTATCTTATATAATTAACAAATATAAATCCATCAATATTATTACTAAAAATAATTACATCAATGTAGCAAATTAATGATTTAAATACACCCAAGCAGCTGTATAATTTGTATTACCTTCTCATATCACCTATGTTTTGTGGTTTATGTTAAGCCAATTAAAATTTAGTTTACGCTCTATTTTGCCATTTCGAAATTATATATAAAGTGTTTCGTTTTTTTTTTCTTTTTGCACAATAAAATTTAAGTTCATTACAACTATTTTCGTACTCCCTTCAACTTTCTAAATTTAGCGTCATCAGTTCCACTAGCGTTGAATCTATTGGGTCTTTGGGAATTATTACGGTGATATAATTATTAGTACTTGATTCTTAACTCAGTACCATATATCTGTTAGGTTACCCTAAAAGCGGTCGATTAAAATGAAAGATTGGGAATTGAATACAGCGATAAAAGAACAGATCTTTTTAAACAGCACTATTAGGGACTCACGGTTCAGATCAGGTAAGATCACGAAATCTTTTTTCGACCGGACTCCATATCGGTATAACTATCCACCTTACATACTGGAGGAAGTAACGTATACTTTTTTTTTTTTTTTGGAAGTTGCATCCTGGGGACGGACATGGTCACCCGATGACCACCCGCAGGTGGATGACAGTGAACGGCGATAGAGAGAACGGGTACCGTAGGACGACTGCGGTGGTCCCAGGTAAATCACCGCTAATCGGAGCGGCTGCCATTCCAAGCCGGGCCGGTGTAAAAACGACGGAATTCTCGCTGCCGGTTAATAGCTCTACCTGCGCGGCTAATGACGGAGCCGACATTGTTATATATATAATAAACACTTAGCTCAACGGTAATTACCGTAGGTCACCATTCCCTAGCTCCCTTGAGGTATGCCACCTCTCTTACCATTTGCTCTTCTACAGCTCCTTGGTATCTGTCTTCTTCTTTTGCCTCTTCTATTTCATTCCGCCGTCTCTCCCTTCTTCTACCCCCTCGCGATTCGGCAGGGATCCGCTTCCCAGCCTCCTTTCGAGAGCCCCTCCTCAATCGCGCCTTCCGGTACCATTGCAGTCTTCATGTTTTTTTTACATCAGTACCAAGTTGAGCGGTGTAATCGAAAACTATACCTGAAGCACCTTAACAGAAATGAGTCTTATTTTGGCATTAATTCATATAACACGATTCCCCTATTCTAAATGTATGTATAACAAAATTATATCCACAAGTGTCCAAATCAACTGGTCTAATGGCTTCTTCGTTCCTTTAACTCCACTTAATAGTTCCTTCAAAAAATAATACTCTTTTTCTCCTTTCAGACAATTTAATTGCATAGATCCTTTTATTGTAGATTGAAACTGTCACCTTAGCCCCTTCACTTATTTGATGCTCAATCCATATTCTTTAATTAATTTTATTGTAATTGCTTAAGAGAAGGAGAAACTTTAAATTGGCTGAAAGGTATATATATAATACCTTGAACGTTCAAGGGGAGTTGGAGGAACGAACATGCATATTACCTTCAATATAATTACTAATCCAGAACTACTTTATTTTGAGGGCAAACGGAAATTTCTTTTTCGTTTTTTTTTTCACTGACAGGTTTGTTGTGTACAGGTCTAAGATAGTAAAATTTGAATTTTTAATAGTAAATTAGTCATTGACTCAGCAAACGTCTCGAATCTGACATATCGAGAGGTTTTAAACCTTAACTTTTTAATCCAAACACTTAAGAGAATGAATAAAGAGCGAAATGAATTTTTGGCTGCTACAGAACAATGAATGGACCATTGGGACCCCCTCAATAGGTTTTCGCCTAAACGAATTATCATGCCTAATTACGAAACAATTGAAACGGTTATAGGAAATTCGTCAGTGACATTAAAGAAGGAAGTGCGCGAGTGTGTGCGTGTAATGGACGAGCCAGAGGACCCTATTGAGAAGGACTGATAGGGGATCTTGATAATTAACGGTGCATAGGCCTATTGAACTCTTTTAAATACACCTCTTTATCTTTCTGTCTCTGTCTTCCAAGCTCAAAATCAATTGACTATGAAAGAATCGATAATCATTTTGCCAAACTATTCAATCGATACGTGCGTAATGATTTTTAGACCGGCCCGTCTCCCCAAGATTCCTTTTTAAAAGAAACGGATTGGAAGAATAAACAAATTAAAAAATGTGTCCTTTTTTGAAAATAAAAAATAAAAGAAATAAAAACACCATTGTTTCAATGTTTATATTTTTACGGCTGGTACAAAAGAATATTTTGTTAAAACTTCAAGGAAATTAAATAAGTCTACCTTCATCTCGGATTAACTTTTATACAACTTCTTTTAAACCCCAATTTATTTAGCATTTTCATAATCTATTATTTATCTATATAATTCATTTATCTATAGTTTAATTTTCAAGCAAGAATTTTATTGTATTTTTTTAAATGCCTCATTTAAAGGATTTAGTTTTCTGTTAATAATTCAACTTTTACCTGATATAACAAGTATTTATTAATTAGCACTAATCACTGACAAGCAATAATTATTTTGTTAGATTTTCTTGATCTTTTAGGGATCCAGACAAGTTAATAATTTTATTCCCATGGAAAAACACCTCCAGAAATTGAATAAAAAACCACGACATTCATAGGTGAGCAATGACGAAAGTAGGGAAAATGCCGATAGCATAATTCGGTTGGGATTCCCGCTCGGGCTATATTTCCTTCTCTCTCTCCCTCAAGGCGGAAAGCTTTTGGAACAGATACACAAATGCGTTACAAACATTGGTATATGTCATTGTGTATGTATTATTGTATCGTTCTATATATGGATAGACGTTACCGGGATGGGTAAGCCGTTATGTAACTGTTTCGTAAGGATCATGGAACAATTAAGTGATATTCATCAGTAGAACGGCAAGCGAA